AATGCTGGTTACACTACCACACAAGGTAATGTCCTGTTTTTGTCTGGGATAGAGTGGCTTAAACCATGAAAGGCAACAAAAGATTCCTATCAGGTGCTGGTTAACCTGAAACCTGGTGTTTGCAGGGAGTAAAAATGTACTTAAGTGTTGGAACATTGACTTTTTTACCTTGGAAAAGTATTTGTCTTTGACTTTTTTACCTTGGAAAAGTATTTGTCTTTAGAAAACTTTAAGCTGCTTGCTCAACATGTACTTTGTATCTTTAATCAAATAGGAAGGTTTTATATATAACCGTTAAGTAAGTTGTGGCAAACAAGTTTATGGTCTATTGGTAATATAAAGGCTTTTAGCCTTTTTAAAATATAATTTTCCTCAAGATAATAACATGCATTTATTTTTGATCATTTCCCCAGGCTCAGCCCAAATGCCTTCTGGCAATACTGGGGAGCACATGTCTACTCTCTCACTTTTCATTTCTTAAAAAATATAAATCTTTGTATAATGTAGTCATAATTTAGAGACCATATAAATCCTGCGCTGTTACTCCAGTCATACTTTTTTCTTTTTTTAACTGTAATGCCAAAATAATCCCTGGTACGACATTGTTCCATCAGAAAAGCTGTGCCATTTACTTGCTTGGGCTTTTTACTTTTAATTGAAAGATTTATAATCTGTCTTCAGTACTTAGTGCATGAACCCTTGAAAATCCTGACCTTTTTGCTGTAATTGGCTATTTTCTTTATACAGTGTGTTTTCCTTCTTTTTTTAATCACGGTTTTCTTCACTGGAATGTGCAGAAGGTTTTCTTATATCAGCAAAATAAAAAAATACCGTTGTGATTTATACTTGATTTATGCAATTTAGCTTTGTTGTGTTTACTGCACTTTAATAATTTGTTATCAATAATGAGTAATTCTGCATGTAAATTATATCTGATTAAATGTAATAGCTTATTCTTCTTTACTTGTATATTTAATTCTTAACCCAAGATTATGCTGTGTGTTGAGATCATTGCTGAATGGAGGTTTTCTTTTTTTTAATTGCAAATATCCAGGTTTGATGAATATTTTAAATACTTTGTGATACTGTACACTGAACATCCACAAGAGGGAACTGTTTTACATAAAGAGGAGTCATTCTCTTGCTACTGAAATACTGCTTTCTGGAACCAAACTCTCTGGATTTATGTTGAGCTGGCCTGACTGTGTCCCAGGATATGCTATGTGGTAGCAACAGGAAAAACACGGGTAAACATAGTGTTGTTATGTTCTGTAAATAGTATTTATTTAAATAAGTAAATTTTGAGCTCTTGGGTTGAGATATTAAATAGAAAACTAATCTGAAAACTAATCCACATTAAGTTTTGTGTTTGCTTGGACTAGATCTCTCAGAAAACAGCTGGAAAACCTCATTTGGTCTCAAATGCAGTTGTTGCCTCAGTAAATGAAGCATGCAGCCCCAGTTTGCTTTTTCAAAGTCCACTTTATAAAACCTGTACTAGAAAGTAGGCCTTTCCTTATTCATAAAGGAGTAAGCTCAAATGGTACTTAAGTTGAGTAATACTCATACAAGTATCATTTGTATCTCTATGAATGTCTACAAAGTGATGAACAAAATACAAAGTTACCTACTTTATATATTCTTTGTCTTTAGCTGGTAATTCCTATGAAGCAAAATTTCCACTGGTAATGTTTCACCAGTTGATAGCAATGAGTTTACCTTTTTTATATGAGTTTCATCATAAATATTTGCAGAACTGAAACCTATTTGTATAAATAAGAGCTTTGTTTATACAAATAACAGGAAAGGCTTTTCCCTGGATATATAGTGTAGAATGTATAAACTAGGACCTCCTAATGTATGTGTTGGTTGATTTATGAACAGGGTTTGAGCAGCAGAACTTAATATCAGCTTTTTACAAGTGATCACAAATAAACCTCCTACCGCTGTCAAAATCTGCATGTAAATGTTGTGTAAACACATTCAAATAAAATTATTTTAAAGTACAGACTATATCCTGTGGTGCACTTGGTTTGCTTTAATCTGAATTTTTCTTTAGGACCATCCTTTGTATTTGTGGGTACAGTATTATGGGCTTGCTACTTTAGACGTACCTAATGATCCTGTTTGCACCTGGAGTGCTTGCGAAACCAATCTGCAGCATCCAGCAGTATCTAGGGTCAAATAAATACTTTTAAACTCATAACTTCTGAATGTATAATGTGAGAAAACAATTTCCAGACTGTGGCCTCTCTGTCAAGTCTTCTGAGCTTTCTCAATGGGAAAAGAAGATACAAGACATATCTGTGGCTTCAGAGACCTCGCCTTGTTACCTATTTGACCAGAATACAGAAGAAGCTTCATCATGCAAAAGCCTTCCCTGGGACACGCCGTGCTACTGCTGTTCATTGCCAGGTCTTTCAAGGTGCACAGAGCTTGTGGTTTCCTTTAGCTGTAAGAGCATCTGTAAGTACCTGACACTTCCGAAGATCAGACACCGTGTGGCTGTGCTGTGATGCTCCTGCCCTTGTTCCATTCCTGGTGTTTGGTGGCGGATAAAGGGTCCATAGGTGTGTGTGCAGCTGTGTAAAGGGTGCTCCTTGAACACCAACCCAGGAATGCAGCGCAAATGACTATCAGGACCAGATTCAAAGCCCAGGTTCCGAAGTGTGTGATCCTGTCATGACAACACTTTGTGGCTCAGGTAGTTTTCTAGCTGTGGGGAGGATCTGTGATGGAAGACATAGGAGGGGGTGACGGCCATGGCAGTGCAGTCTGGGGTGTCATGTGGCAGCTGTGACATGCAATGTCTTTTCAACCTGATTTGGTTTCTGCACCTAGAAATCTTCCATGGAATTCCCTCTTACAATGGCTTCCTTGGAAGGGGCTGCTTCAGGTGCACTATGTACCCGACTGTTTTCTTCTGAGATACAGTAATGTAGTATTTTCTCACTTGCATATACCTCCATATCATTGTCTAGTGCTTTCTCTATTCATAGGTGCCTATTAATCCCTTCTTGAAAAAGGAAGCATTCTCCTGAAGGAACAGCCTGGAGTGAGACATCATGATAAACCCATGGAGTTCGGCAAATGGTGGTGTTATTGCAAAAGAAAGTAGAGGCAAGAGGGCTAGAGAGCCCTACCAGAAGTTTGAGAACTCATTACCATCACTTAAGTAGAAAACAAAAATAAACCCATATCAGATGCAAAAACAGTAACTAGTAGCAGTAAAGGTTAAGAGACTATTATTTCACAATGGTGCCTCTGTGCATGTGTAGTGACTAGATCAGATGGGGAAATGTCATGCTTACAAAGGATGTTGTATTTTACCCTTGGAAAGGTGTCAAGAGATCCACATAATACTTCATGCAGACAATTGAGTGAGCAGACCATGTGCCAAATGGAAATTTTGATTCATATAAATATATAAATTCCTATGCTTTTCAACGGGAATCTGGAAAAAAAAAAAAAAAAGGCAGGAGGCAACTATCTAGATTTTCCTGATGTCATTTTAACTTGCTATTTATATTTCTAAGGGTTAATTTCAGGAATGTTCTTCGGATGTGCAGCAGTTTGCTGTGCGTTTGTAGAGCGTTTTCAGCATTTCCCCGCGTCAATTAAAGACAAACCAAGAATGCCTGGAGCGGAAAGACCCACGCCACGGTTCTCCCATATTTATTTCACCCTTCCTCACTGTATTTCCAAACCAGGCTCTCCTCCCCATCCCTCCTCCCTCTTCCCTCCCCCCCCCCCCCCCCCCCCCCCCCCCCCGCATCCCCAGGCACCTGCTGCTGCAACTCAGCCGCCTCCTGCAAGCCCCGAGCGCGTTCCCCTTTCCTCTCTCCCTCCTTCCCATCTGCCCCCCATCTACGAGTCCCGGTCCAGCCCGGTCGCCCACGAAGGTGCCCCCACGGTCCCGGCGCCGGCACCCCCCCCCCGGTTCACATCCTCCCTATCCCGCGGTGTGGGTGACGGATAGGGAAGATGCGCACCGGGGGGGAAGCGCCGGGGCGGCGGGGGCCGGGGCCGTGACAGCGGCGTGCGTTAGCCGCTGCGTCATGACATCCGCCAAACCAGCCGCGCGTACGGCCGTGCACGGGGGGGTGGGGGAGACCGCTGCATCCTGCTCCCGCCCCACCGCGGCTGCGGGAGAGCGCTGCGCGGCTGCGATGGACCCGCCTGGGCCGGCGGGACTTGTTGGACCGACAGCTCCCCGGCGCGGCCGGGCACCGCCTCGCCGCCACCTGTGAAGCGCCTCGGCATCCCCCCTCCCCTTCACGTAATCCCCCTTGCCGACCATCCGGAGCCGTCGCTCGGTGCCTCGGCGGCACAGCGAGCGGAGTCGGGCGGCCGCGGGGCGGGGAAGCGCAGAGGCGCCGCACGGGGTTGCCCATGGGGGGCCGGGAGCCCGCCTGAGCCGGCGCCCCCCCACCCACAGCGGTGGCAGCGGCGTCCCGGGCCGGGCCAGCACCCCATCTCCGCGGAGCTCTTCAGTACCCCTGGCAAGGCCGAGACTGCGGGGCCGTGGCGTCTCCCGGTGGCAGATAGGGAGGGGCGGGAACCGGCGGCAGCGGCGCCTCTGCGCGTGTGGGAGCAACAGCCTGAGCGACAGCCTGGGCCCTGGAGGGAGCTCCCGAAGGATGGGCGAGGAGGCGGCGGCAGCGGCAGCGCACGCACAGATGGGGCAGCGGAGGATGAATTAGGAGCCACAGGAGGCTGCTGCCGGCATCGAGGGGGGAAGAAGAGAGGAAGAGGCTGGACTTGGAAGAGGAGGAGGAGGAGGGTGCGCGCGGGGGGGGGACACTGAGTATCGCTAATAACAAGTTAAAGACTAATAACAATAATAACAGATCACCTCCGGGAAGGTCCGCGGCGGAGGCTGAGAGATCCCCGCGGAGGCCAGCGGGGTTGCAGCGCTGGGTATCTTGGAGAGACGCTCCGAGGCATCATCAGTTTGTGGTGGTGGTGGATGATCTTTTTTAGGGGTGGGCGGGGTGGGGGCTGTGTATGCGGGAGAAGGAAGGGGTGGGAATCTGAGGAGGAGACTACCTTTTTATAATTAATTTTTTTAAACATTATTTTCGCCGTGCAAGGAGGACGCTCGGAATTCACCGGCCTGGCTGCTCCCGAGGGGGACCCGGGGGTTGTGCGGGCGCTTTTCTTCCTTTTTTGTTTGTTTGTTTGTTTGGTTTGTTTGTTTTGATTTGGGGCTTCTCATTTCTATTACAATTATTTTTCTTTTTCCGCTGAGCAGCGGCGGCAGCAGCAATATGGCTGGTGATGGGTTTTTTGGGGGGCGCTGGCGGCGGGAGGAGCTCTCGGAAGCCCCTGCGCGCCCGGCTCGCTGTTAGCTATGGCAAATGGCAGCGGCGGCGGCTCCTACCCGGGCGGCAGCGGCGGCGGCATTAGAATGAGTAACAATATCAACGCCAACAATCTCAACACAGACTCGTCCTCCTCCCCCGTCAATGTGCCCAAGATGGATGCGCTCATCATCCCGGTGACCATGGAGGTGCCCTGCGATAGCCGCGGACAGCGCATGTGGTGGGCTTTCCTCGCCTCATCCATGGTCACTTTCTTTGGGGGACTGTTTATCATCCTGCTCTGGAGGACCCTCAAGTACCTGTGGACTGTCTGCTGCCACTGCGGGGTCAAAAACAAGGTAAATCCCCCTTCAATTCCCCTCCTGCTGCCCGTGATGGTTTGGTGCGGTGATGGTGATGGTGGTGGAGTAGTTGAAGCCCAGGCTGGTAAACCAGGACACCTGGGAGAGGTAGCACTAGAAGAGACACTGTGAGCTCCTGTTGGGTGGTGGTGTGCTGTCTGCTGTTGTGGTAGGATCGCCATGGGCTGTTGGGAGCCGCAATTGGGGGAGCGTGGCTGGAGGAGTGAGGTGTTGGGTGCAGCCTTGAGACTGCCTCCCTGTCGTCGTCGCCCCCCCCCCCCCCCCCCGAGGGGACACACTCATTTTCATCTGGTGGCGTGAAAGTTACACCTAGTGTCGGCTTGCCCCGGCAGAGAGGCACATGCTGGCATGGTGGGAGAGTGTGGTTCAGAAGTTGATAGGTACCCCCAGGACTGTGGCTATTTGCTGATTGAAACTCTCAATTCTCTTGTGGAATGACAAACTTTGGCAAAATTGAGAAGCTAAACTTCTCCAGTAAATCTTTTTAAAGCTAGTTTAACTCCCTGAGAATCTCTGACACTTCTGTTTGATAAATTAAATGTAGAGACCTAGAAATATTCAGTGCATTGGAAAGTAGCACACTAGAGAATTCCTTTAACCTAAGTGCAAAATCTTTGTGTCAACCTCTTTGCCCCTTTGGTTTTTGTGTGTTGCCAGCTGGAAGAAAGTGTAGTATGTGAAATAAGGTCAGCTCTTGGTTTGAAGAGTCACTTTTCAAACCAAAGGTAAGAACTTGCCCAGGTCCAGACTTCATTTTTGTTTGAGACAAATGGGATAGAAAGTGTTAAGACTCTGTATTTATGAAAGTAGGTTTTGACAGACCCCAAAATAGACCAGCAGCTGGAGTTTCTCCCCTTCCCTTTTCACATTTTTTGGATTACAAATGGAATAATATCTGCTTCAGTTATTCCTGGCACACAGACACCCACAAAAACACACACACCTTTTAATATATGGTTGCTAGGTTGCTGGCTTGCTTTGACGTACAGTGAGCTGTCTTCCCCTTTCTCCTGTCCCCTCCCCCTAAACACACTTGATACAGCGCATAACCCAGCTGTATGAAGGGTCAAACACTTATAGAAAACCAGAAACAAAAGTTGGAGTATGAAAAGTTATGGTACTTGTTTGCTTGTGTATTTGGGTTCCGCAAGGTAGGCGTCCAGTTCGGACTGCCTGAATGAATCTCCACATTCCAGTTGGGAGTAGGACAGTTGCAGTGAACTTGGCCTATCTATGGAAGAAGTGATTGATAGAGGAATAAATAAAAGCTTTTAACTCAAACTTAAGCTTTAGGAAACCTGCCAGGCAGGATCACTTCTCTACAGGCACTTTTATTTTGTTCAAAACCCAAGCCTGAACTTTTCTAAAGAGATGTTAGGCAGGTATGGTGACAAAGCTCAAATTAATTTGTGATAATAAGCAAGCATGTCTTGTAAAGTACCATTTCCTACAACAGTAAAAGGCAATTTTCAAGAATGGGTGGATAGTTAAGACTTACCTTCAGTTTCTTCTGTGTGTATTTTGCATTTTCTTCTCTACACAATGAGACAAATCTGCAAGGGATCTTGATGAAAAAAGAAAATCCCACAGGTTAATCACCTCGTGCTTCTTTTTGAGAATGAAAAGTTAGAGACTTGCACACAGACTACATATGCATGCTGTCTTGGTGGCTATTGTTGGTTTGATAGTCCGTTATTGGAACATAGTTAAATCATTCATTTCTTAACTAATACAGAAAAGTCGATCCAAATTGTCTTTTAAACCTCTTTGGCTAAGTGTATGAGTCTGCTAAATAGCAGGTATCATTGAGGGGTTGCAACATTTCCAGTCTGAATGATTTGCCATACTGCAGCTATGTCGGATTGTAAGATACGAGTTTATTTCATGTTTGAGAGCTGAAGTAGCTGTGTCCATGAATCTGATTCCCTGGGGCAGGAGGATAAAGGCCTCTGCAGGTAGGGGGAGGTATACATCTTCTTTTAGGTTGTATTTGTTCCACTTGTAAGGCGTTTCAAGGCTCTGGTGAAGAACTTTCAAGGGCTGATCCTGTGTTCCTTACATGCTAAAACAGGGAATTTGAGGGAATTCTGTGTGTGTAAGGAGTAATTAGTTACTGTAAAACACTTGTCTAGAATTTAGGGTGTAAAGGCTAACTGAAGTAAGAACTGGAAATGTCTTAAACTTTGCTCTTAACCAAACACATGCTTTGAGCTGCATGGTAACTTGGGAAGGGTAGTCGAAGCTGCAGGTGGAAAATGTGAATGCATATATACGCTATGTTGACTATATTGGACCTCATAGCAAAAGCAATTTTACAAGAAGTAGATCCTCCTATTGTGGGACTGGTTAAGTTTTCCGCATGTTAGGATCCTTATGCTGCCTCTTCTGCTGCTCCACAGGTTGTAGCAGTTGTGTTATCCAATATTGTCTCACTATTTACATGTTTCATCACCCCCCCATGTCACTGAATTTAAGGTTTGAATTGGAAAACATGATATAAACAGTTTAACACTTCTAAAATGTCACTTTTTTTCTTTTTCTGTGGAGATAAGAAAGTCAAGATACTATAAGTCAAGAATATGAAAACTTCTGGTAACAGAATGATAAACATTGCTCCTTAAAATTCCATATCCAATTTATGTCACTGTATATGAATAGAACATGAGTTTGAATAATGTATCCGAAATGATTGCTGTAGTTTTAGGATTTTTATGCTCCATGCTTGCTTTGTGAGATGACATTTAAAAAAATCTGTCAAAAAGAAATACGTAAGTCTTGACCTGTGTTGTCAGTCTTTCATGTAACGTAAGAGTCATTACAATTGAAGCCCTTGTATTCCTTTATTTAATATGGTATGCAATTTTAGATGCACATCTTCCAAAATTAGCTACAGTCATATCGCAGAGACTTAACAAATGCTGTTTTTCTCTTCATTGTTTGCATCTACCTATTTAGGAATCGTTAAAGAACTTGTCTTCTCTTTGTTTTTCATTTGTCCCTTGACCAACTCATTTCTCTTGGTGCATGAAAAGTGGAATGTGAGACTGAAATTCAGTAGGCTGGACTCTGACACCATTAGTTGTTCTTCTTTCTGGAAATAACAGAAAAAATAGAACAAATATGCATGGTGAAGTACACAGTACACATAGTGGCCAAATGTATATTTTACAGTCTGCAATGCTTTTGTTTGTATGGATTTGCTGCTGCATTTTCTATGCTCCTAAAGGTAATTTTCTACAGATATTATCTGATACATGTTTTGGGTTTGAACTCTTAGACATAGAATGGTTTAGGTTTGAAGGGACCTTAAAGATCATCTAGTTCCAATGCCCTGCCGTGGGCAGCAGCACCTTCCACTAGACCAGGTTGTTCAAAGCCCCATCTAACCTGGCCTTGAAGCAGCAAAATGGGAGAGAGCAAGTCTGGGGCACAGCTGGCTGCTGAAGCTGGCTGGTGCCGAATGAAGTAAAATCAGTATGAAGAATGTGATACTACACCATATATCACTTCTTGGTTCCCAAACAGTAGTACCTCTGTGTACCTTATGCTTTCAGGGCTCTAGCAGGTAGAATGTGTCTTTATCACTGTGCTCCTGTTGGAATGTTTTAAGTGTTTTGAACAGCTCCCCACAACTCATATATGTATAAAATGAAATTACATTATGATTATAGATAGCAGTTGGCAGCATGAAATTACAAGCCATTACAAGTCTTTCTTTGATGTTGGACTGCGTATTTGGGAAGTTTAATAAATTATACGCTGCTAGATTTGGTCAGTGGAAACCAAGCAAAATTCCCATTTGTTTTTAATAGAATTATTATTATTTTTTTACTGGAAGGACAGCATTTGCAGACTCCTTCTTTCAAAAGTTAAGAATTGTCACTCAGATCTCAAAGTCCTGAGAAAATTTGTAAGTGGAAAAATTTAAATTTTCCCTAAAAGGAGCATTTCTACCAAACTGGCTCTTGCATAACTAGGTTTGTTGTTTTCCTAGCAATACCTGTGTAAACATCCTCTCCAAATAAAACTAAAGAAACAAAAGAAAGGCACCGCTTATTGAAAAAAAATCCAGAAGAGTACATTGGAAGGCATGCGTGGACACATAACACAGGAGACCCTTTCATTTAAATGTGTTATGTGACAACCTCACCTTGACTCTCTAGAAGATGTACCAAGCAGAAGCGTATGAACAACTGGAAAGCTCAAGGGATTAGCAGTGGACTGCAATGCATTTTGCTTGTTAGTCACATGTGCAGCCTGGCTCAAGGCACTGAATCGTTCCTGTCTCATGGCTATCAGGTGGTCTGTGCATAATTACTCCGTGAGCTTCCCACTGGAGAGGTTGCCAGTTGAGACATGGACAAGGTGGAGAGGTCAAGGACTGAAAGAAAAGGTCCTCGTAGCTCTTTGTGGATGGTGCTTCTGCAAGCAGAAAAAGGCATGGTGTGGAGAGGTGTGTGCTGCTGTTTCCCATGCTGTGAGAAGGAAGACACTTTCTGCTGTCTGGAGCTCATAATGGATTTCACATTTTATAAACACATGATGAAACTGGTTATGCATGCAGAAAAGAAAATATATGGACAAGGATTTAAGCTGTAAACCAAAATGTTATTTTGATACAGTATCATAGACGCTTTCAAGGCTTTGCAGCACATACATTTAAGGAGAAAATCTGCACTCAGAAAGAATTTGCAACTCTCACACGTTTGCAAACCTGTAAATGCTGGTTGGAAATCATTAGATTTCACAATATTTTGCAGTTTAACTCAACAGAAGAAATGTCTGTAATAGGGAACACAAGGCTTTTAAATAACAATGATAGATGTGCTCAGTTTTGATATGGTGGGATTTCTGAATAATTTACAGCCCCAGAGATTTGAAACACTGAAAATTTAGAGCATGCTAGTCCTAAATATAATCTCTGCAGGGACAGGATCTCATGATTATAATTAAAAAAGCAATGATGGTCAATTTCT